TAAATGACAAATGATTTGAGTAAACATCAAATGGTATTTTAGATGGAATCTTGTTTTTGAGCTTATCTGCAATCAACAGGGAGATGAATCAGATGTATAGGATTTTTCTTTACCGACCACAAGAGTTTGAAGTATGTCTTTGACCAAAAGGAGTTGAATATGAGGCTGCAACGATGGCTCGAGTTGCTCAAGGACTACAACTGTGGACTACGCTACCACCTGGGTAAATCAAACTTGGTGGCAGACGCTTTAAGTTGGAAAGAGTATGGTAATGGAATGTGAGCCATGCTTACAAGAATCGACATAGTGTCTAACCCAACCGACCGGATCAAAGTGTCTTGGTTATAGGTGCTCATGGAAGAAAATGTCAAGGATGAAGTGATGGTGAAACAACATATGCTCTTGACTGAATATGGTCGTGGTTTGAAACTCTTCCGAGGTGATATATGGGTGCCCAAGGTTTGGGGAAACCGCGATTTTTGTTAGAAGACACATACAAGTCCAAAGGCTCTATTCGTCTGGGTAGCACCAAAATGTAAAGAGACTTGAAGTTGACATACTTGGTAGCCTGTCATGAAGTTGGACGTGGTAAACTAGGTGGAAAGGTGCATGACTTGCCTACAAGTGAAATTGGAGCACCAATGACCATATGGGAGTCTTCAATCCTTGGAGATCCCGAAATGGAAGTGGGAACACATCACCATAGATTTTGTGACCAAGTTGCCAAAAACCTTAAGAGGTCATGACACGATATGGGTGGTGGTGGATCGCTGACAAAGATTTCTTACTTTTTGGTGATGCGAGAAACCTTGCCGATTGATAAGTTCGCCAAATTGTATATTGAGGAAGTCATCTCGAGACATGACGTGTCGTTGTCTATTGTATCCGACTGGGATAGTCGGTTCACTTCTAATTTCTAGAACAACTTGTAAAAAGAGTTGGGTACGAGGGTGAAGTTGAGTACGGCTTATCACCCTCAAACCAATCTTCAAATCAAAAGGACCATTCAAACTCTCGAGAACATGCTTATATCGTGTGTCATATACTTTGGCGGGAATTGGGACTCTCATATACCCGTCTTGGAGTTTGCTTGCAACAACAATTACCATTCTAGTAAGAATAGATTTAATTTTTAAAATTTGTTGTAACAAATCCAAATATTATTAATTATTTTAATCAATATATTATATTTTTTAACTTTTTTTACCATCTTGTTTGTATTAGTTAATATATTAAATTATTATAGATTTGTTTCGATTATATTTTGAAATATTATAATTGATTAATTTTTCAAGATGCCTTTTTTTGTCATTTTACATTCTTATCAGTTCGTTTTTGTCAAACATGATTTATAATTATTTTTTTGATTAACCTGGATATCCAACCCGCTATGTGAGCCAACTAATCTCAGGGCGACCACCTGCTTTATAGGTAGCCCGGAATCACCGCATTTGAACATCCGTGGCCATAAGGGGATTTTTATTCTTCCTTGGATTTGAACCTGTGACCTCCTTGTACTTTCGATCTTTAGAGCCAAGCTCAAACCAATTAGGCACCACCCTTATGGTTAAACATGATTTGTTTACCAGCTATCTTATCAGTTATTTTGCCAAACATAACCAAAATGTTATGTTTTTGCAATAAAAAAAGTGTTTATGCATGATAATATGGAGAAGTATATTAAAATGCCATTTCTTTATTAAAACTATATGTTTTGTGAAATATGTTTTGTTCATAAAACCATAATTGATCACAAAGCTTAAAACTTGTGTATTCCGTATAGTTATATTAATTAATATAAGACAAGAATCACAAAAAAAACATAATATCTCGTGAATGATGACTTTTTTGTGACGTCGAAATTGTATTTATGGTCTTATATCAAATAAAACAGTACTACGTCTAGAAACACGTATGCATCATACTAAGGTTTCTTAGATACGTTATTGCAAAATATCTTTATGATGGCAAAAGAATTCTTAAGAAGATAAAAAAGAAATACCATCAACTTATTATATAACAGACAATATATAAGTTATCAAAGTAAAAATATTTACATTTTCTTTAATCACAAGTTGTCCAGATCAGTTTTTATGTATCTCGACTGATTTTATAAACCCATCTTTGTATTTTGTCAAAAGAACTTTTTTTTTATCTCTCATTCTCTCTAGCGGTTTAATTTTGAATGTCAAATTTGTATCTAACGTAATTATATTTGATTTTTATAGTTTTAGTACCATTTTTTATTTACAATATTTGTTTTTATGTAATCTAATTGTTGAGTTTTTGTACATATATAATGGTTTTAAGGAGTGTTTGGAATTGCTTATGTGAAATAACTTCTACGTTTCTACAAAATCACTTATCAACTTATTATAAGTCAGAAGAGTTTAACTTCAAAAACTCTTTATTACCGGTTTGACACTGATATAAGTTGTTTATCTAAACATTTAAAAGTACTTATTACCGGTACCACAACAGAATAAGTCAATAAGTTGTTTCTATAAGCAATCCTAAACACCCACTTAATATTAAAAAATAATTTACAACATGAAAAAGAGAAGCAATAAATAATAGAGAAATAGGGGTAGGGGTAGGGGGTAGGGGCATGACATTTGGTTTAGGGTTTGGTAGAAAAGGCATTGTTTGGTTTCTTGATATTTAATAAATAATATTGATTAGAGATGAAGGTATGATGGTGGTATGCTCACATAATTATTTTATTACAAGAATCTAAACTCCTTTCTTTATTTTTTGGTGTCTTTATATTAATTAAAACAATATTCTATTTATTTACTACACATATAAATGTCTTTTCTATAAAAAAAAAGTGAAATAAAATAAAGATAAACTTATATCTATTTCAAATTATCTGTTTAATTTCTTATTAAGTTATGTATGAATAAAGTTGTTTCTGTAGATTTGTTTGTTTGTAATAGGTTGGAAATATTTTTATTTGTAATGATTTTTTCATAGATGGAAGTAGTGATGGCCAAAAACCGGTCCGGACCGGGTTGGGTCGATCCTAATCGGTCCCAAGCTTTCTTATAACCGGCCATAATCGGTCCTGATCGAAAATGGTAAGACTGGTCAAGGTTCTTCATAACCAGTTATGGGCTGTCAGTCCCGACATTAAAAAACAATTTTTTTAAATTTTTTTAATGATATATATATATATATATATATATTTAATACATTATAAAATTTGTAATTTGGTCATTCAAATACACTTTTAAAATGCGTTTTAACATAATTAAAACTACATTCTCTTACAAAAATACATTATAGAATTATTTGAAAATACATTTATTTATAAAATTATTTGAATTTCCAGGCCGAGCCGGGCTGGTCCATAGTTGGTCCCATAAGCAGTCTCGATCCCATGAAATTGCCAAAAACCCTAATATGTCTCGGTTTTCGGTCCCATAACCGGTCCTTACCGGTCCCGGGTCGGGACGTCCTTTGATCCTGGTTCCCATTGGCTGGGCCGATTTTTGGCCATTACTAGATGGAAGTAAGTGTTTTCTTTATTGGGAGGATAAGTTTGAAAAAAAACTTGACTTTTTACATAAAATTCTTCTCAATAAACTTACTAAATAAGTCATATTTCTATATCATTAAGTCACTTACGAATAATCATATATAATTGAATAAATATCTTACTAAACTGTTGAGAAAAAGGTTTCTAAATCACTTGTTTGATAAAGAAAAGGTGGTTGCCAACAAATTTATCAGATTTCACAAATTTATCATTTTTGCCTAATCTAATTTATTGAACATTCAAAGTAAAAATAAATAATTTTATAATAAAAATACATTATTATTTATAAAAAAAAAAAAACTCTTATTAAAACGATTAGAGTCACACCGATACTAAATAATAATAAAAACATGGAAATACTTAGAAAAATTAATTAAAATAGTTATTTTTATCAGTAAAATTCACCTCTTAGTCACTTTTGTGCAAGATTTACCAAAATATCATAGGTTCATAATTTTACATTTGTTTGCGAACCTAAGTAAAATATATAAATAACAATTTGCAAACCTGGATGAGAAATGTAAATCTTTTTACAGATCTGTATGAAAAATGTAATTTTTTTTTGCGGATAGGGATAGAAAGTGTAAATTTGTTGTCATTTAGATAGGTCCGCAATTGCGGACGTTGGCTTTGCGGATCTATGACTATTTTAGTAAACTAAGAAAAAAATAGCTAGGAGGTGAAACCAACCCTAAAAAATGACTATTTTAATGAATTTCTCAAATACTTTAGATAGATAAGAATAAGAATAAATTATTTTGGATTGAAGTAAAGGATCGTTTAGCAAATGTTTAACAGATAAGAGTTTATTAAGTACTTTCATTTATCTTATCATGTAACATTCTTGACCATCAAAATAAATCGTTAGCAAACATCTAAACCACTTATCATGTAAGACTTATTCCTTGTGTCTCTTACCAGGTAACGTCATCAGTCCTTATCATGATCAGTTGGTAAGTTTATTGTTATCGGTAAACATTTAATAAACTGTTCTTAAGTTTGTTATGATAGATTTTTGTTAAAAATCAATTTTGTCTACATTTTTATTTTAGTTCAGACTGCAAAACAAGTGTTCATTTCAAAAGTAATCATTTTCTCATTCTAATCCTTAATTACAACATAAGAAAGTTTACCAGTTTATTAAAAGTAAGATTGTATTTTCTTTTTAAAATAATTAAAAAGTGTAATAATTACAAATAAATAAAAATAAAATTGTATTTTCTTTTTAATAACTAAAATTATGTATCTTCTTTAACATGGACATCTAATTTGCCATAGAGAAAGTAATAAAAAGCAAAAGCTCTTATTTTCATATTTGCCACACAATTAGAAGTTTAGTTAGTCTAAGCTTGATGACACTTTTTCAACAGAGCTCGAATAACCTACAATTCAACTCGGCTAATTAACACCCCCTGCCAACAATTGTGAATGCTATAAGAAACAAACAAAGTAGAATAAGTTTTAAAAACCAGAACCCATATTTGCTAACAACTGGTTTTGGACAGCAATGTGGCTGCAAATTTAATAATTCTACCAAAATCTCAATGCACCAAGCAACTTGATCAATCAAGAAATATGGAGTGAAAGTGAACCAAGTTGACATCATGAACTTATGAATTTGGTACATATATCGACCCTGCAAATTTCTCTTAAATCACAAAATGCAAGAAAAATATATCGTTGCATACCCTATGATGCGGATTTCTGTTTCTTTGGGACACGATAAGCTCCAACCACACAAGCATGGTCTCGTTCAAAGGGTTCAAGGGTCACCTGCTCCATAGGCTTAAACAGTTCTGCCTGAAGCTTCTTCACTTCGGAAGCAAATACTGCCTCTGCTGGAACCGTAGAATCTATGCAGTTTGCCTAAAAACAGTTTCCGACCATATTTATGATTTGTGAAACATAAATTATACCAAAGGATCAAATAAGAAGGTTTGATCTACGTTATGATATATGGAAAACGATTTATGTACAAATACAAGAATCAAGAAGAACAAACCTTGATCGATATAACAAAATAGCCTCCAGTTTTCAAGAAATAAGATGCATTGAGTGCTAAAATCCTAGCCTGCAAATGGATATAAACTATAAAGCAAGGGTAGCTAAACAAGATATATAGCGAGGATAATAAGGGAATATACAAACCATTACCTACAACCAAATAATCAAAACCACCAAGTAATTTATAGGGTATGGAGGGTAAAATTACAACAGAAGGCACATAAGATGACCCCAAATAATCAAGCACTTAGAACTTAGAAGTAAGATGTTCGCACTGAACTTACTTTAAAGTATTCGTTTTTAAATCTTGATGAAACAAGGTACACACAAACCTCTACTTTTGTTCAAAGAAAAAGTAATTACACTTGGCATACCCTTAGAAAAAATTCAAAGAAAAAAACAAGAAACCAGATACCCAACTAAACAAAATGTCAATTGATGCATCAGAAACTCGGTTTTTGCATCATCCAGGATGTCCTGAAGGGGAATCCGAGTAGCTCATCATCTGCTATGTTGTAATTCAAAACGAGGAAGAAATAGAAGACATCTATATATATATATATATATATATATATATATATAGGATGTAACACAAAAGTATTATTAACTTCAATAACAGGAGAAAAAAGATACCCACATCGATATTTTGAAGACTTCAAGAAATGAAAATAATAATACTTCTACTGAAAATAGACCATGGATTATGTCCAAAACACTGTAAAGAAGTAAAACATCTCATTAAAAAGAAAAGAACTGCAAATAATGATATGCAGCCTGGGAAGAACATTAAATTCAAGCAAATAATGTTAGAAAAAGAAATGCAAGAAAATTGCCGAAACCAAAGACAATAAGAGATGCGGTGAACGATGAATGCAAAGTAAACCTGATCAGGTTGAGCAACATCAGAAAATATAACATCAACCATGCCAACAAGCATCCTGTATTTGGCCGGATGTCTAGCATCTTCAATAATAGGAATAACATTCGTTCGCTTTTTGGCCATATTCACCAAGTCCCTACCGCTTCTATGAGAGAATTCCACAGCATAAACAACTCCAGTCTAATAATAGCAAAGAAACTTAATGAGTGATGACTTGATGGTGATTGAGATATGAATTGAAAGAAGCCAAAATCTATGAGAAACTACTTACTGGGCCAACAAGATCAGAAACATGAGAAACAGTAGTGCCAGATGCAGCTCCAAGGTATAGCACACGAGAGCCAGGTTTCTGAACAGAAAAAAAACAGCAGGTAAGAACAGATTGCCAATGTTAAGCCTGATTGAAGTCACACATTCAGATGTATGATTGACGATACAAAACTTACCATCCAAATATTGTCAACACCACCAAGAACGGCAGCAGCTAACTTCGACCTAAATGGGTTCCATACTCTATATTCGATCTTGGTTCCATCTTCAATCTGAATACGAACAAAATTAGTCTATGCAATACCATGCAATCGATAGGACTGTGTTGCTAGAAACTAGACACGTTTGAGTGTTTAATTAATGTAAAAATGAAGCTAAAGGTAACGGATCCAAAAGTTTTGGTCATAAACAATAAGCTTCAATGGAGATGAAGATATCACAAATGAAGATTGATCAATTATTTAAGGAGTGAAAGCATTCATAGATTTTCACACTACACCTAAACCTAATATATGTTAAATTACACCGAAAAGGTTAATTGGAATTTAATTAATAGACAGAACTTGTACCTGAACAGAGATCCTCTTCTCATTATAGACAGCTTCTCCAGGGACCATGTTCCTGGTGCAAAGAGCATCTTCCTTACCTTTAGCAATAAATACTCCATCGTGTCTATGTGGCTCAACTATAACCTTACTCCCTCCCTTCATCCCACCACCTCTACCACCACGTCCCCTGCCGCCACCGCGTCCTCTACCACCACCAGCCCCTCTTCCACCACCGCTGAATCCTCTTCTACCTCTACCGCCACCATCTCCACGGCCACCCCTGAAACCGCCGCTTCCACCACGACCTGTAAATCAAATAATAACAAATTCATTTACTACAAAAACCAAGTGAATCAAAACGAGAAACGAGATGTTAGCATTGAAGGAGGAGACATGCCTCCTCTCATTGGAGCTCTCATGTTTTCGTGCAAGAAGTGGATTACTAGTTCAGTTAGACGTGTTGCTACCTGCTAGGGTTTATGTGTAAGCGAGCGAGCAGGGGCGTTTTATAAGAATTTAGGCTTTAGGGTTTTGGTTCCACATTTCTCGATCCTACTCCATCATATACTCTTGAGTAAATGTCCCTATGGATTCTAACAAATTGTTATTTTAATGTCTCTGTTTTTAACATAAGAATTTTCATTCTTATGATTTACAATTTATTGTTATCTTTATTTTTATGATTTATAATTTATTTATGTTTTTGCCTCTATGGTGTACAATGTTTTGCTTTTCTAGTACGTCATGCTTAAAGGTAGGTGTTAGATTTAGAGACAAAATAATAATGAATTATAAACCATAAAGATGAAAACCACATAGAGAAAAAAGGTAATTTACTCTATATATTTTCTTTATTATATGTATCGGCTAGCTAAGCTGGGCCACGTGAAATGGGCTTGTCCTTAGCCTAACCAAAACTAAAGCCCGTTTGAAATTTAATGGATTTAGGTGATTTGATCTGATCGAATTATTTATTAGATGTTGGATTTTGTCATTTGATCTAATCATCCATTGGACAACCAATTTAACGAATGATTGGATCAGATCGATTCCATCTATTTGATAGTACTATTGGTTATTCATTTGATCGGATTGGATTCATCCAATATTTTTGATACAATTTTCAACCAATTATTCCACCATTTCAACCAATTATTCATGTATTTTTCTAATTTATTAAACCATAAACAATATCATAATATATATATATATATATTAATATATATATATATATATATATTAAATGGATTTGTAATCGGATGCTCATTGAATGGTAAGTGGATTGGATCGGTTCAATTTATTGAAATTTGAACTATCATCCAAAAACCAAGTTAAAATGTCACACGCTCGTTATGATTATGAAATTTTCATTCCTCTTGGGATTGGAAACCAAATGGGAGGAGTTATTGAATGGACTAGGTCTTGTTGGAAAGGTTTTATGCTTAGTCCTAGGGGGCGACCCAGACCTCCATAATTGAGTAAGTAAGAGGACAACAAGCAAAGAGTCCTAGCTCTAGCTCTCGAAATAAACCGCCTCTTCCTCTGTCCTAGTCAATCCAATTTGGATGTTGAAAAATGAAATAAGATCCAACCAAATTATGATTAGTCGTAACTAATTAGATCGGTTGATTCTAAATAGATCGTTTATGGTTAATCGTTTAAAAGTGTAGATTTATTTTAGGAAGCCATTTGGCGTCTAGCCATTATGAAATGCTTGTGCCATTTAAATCAAGGGTCGTGGTTGAGTTGGGATAAAGAAAAGTTGTATCGAAAGCCATTTGGGGCATTAAGGGACCTCCCATGCAATTGTGGTCGCGCAATAAGTCGCAAAAAGGCTTAAAACATAAAGCAAAGTGTCGGACTGGTTACCAGGCGAACTAAGTTGCTTACCAAGTTTCCTGAGGCTCTGAATTGCTGATTTTTGTGTCTGGACAACTTTCCAAGCGACCTAAGTCACGAAAAGCCCCATGTGTTTCTAAGCCTCTTTTTGGTGAGGGTTTGCTCACTAATGCTCTCGTTTCATTTCTATCTTCTTGGGAGGGATTCTTGAGCTATATGTGGTGATTTTTAAAGGTTTTTGAGCGCAAATGGAAGGATTAACATGGATGTTGAAAATCTATGGTTTGAGTCTCAAAGTTTGGTTGAAATCAAGGTTTGTCTTGGAGATGAAGACCTCTATAGTAGAGCTTTGGGTGGAAGGTTTCAAGTTCTTCAAGAGGTAAGTTTCTTGAGTATTTTGAGCAATATATTTGAGTGATCATTGTAGATTTGAAGTTTGTGTTGATATATGGTACATTTTTGGTCTTCAGTTGTTGTTTTGAGAAGATTTCTAGAGATCCTCGTTCATGGATTCAAGTCTTCATCTTTTGGAAGCTAGAGATGAGTTTGGAAACTAAGTTTAATCTAAGTTCAAGTTGTTTTGTGAAAACTATGTATATGTAAAAAATGTCCATTTTGGAGTCTTAAAATGTTTTCTTGATATATATATATATATATATATATATATATATAAATATATAGACACATTTCGATTTCAATGTTTCGTTTTATTTTTTATCTATGTCGATATAATATGATATTATATAATTTTGAGAAAATGATAATGCTTTTATTTTTGAATAAAATATAAATTTAAAAATATCATATAAAATTTGCAAAAA